AAAATTATATCATATAAAAAGCACTTAATTGTGCAAAAGTGGGTGAAAAAAAAAACTCTTATTTCTATCAAATCCAGTTTTTGGTATGTTCGATGTCGGTGCTCCTATTTTGAAGACAAACACGTTGAAATATGTAAATGAATGGCAAAACACTTGCATTGGTATAACAGTTATTCTTTTGGCAGATATCTGAAAAATAAAAATAACTACATAGGAGTCATATTATCGCAAAACATCTGCAGAAATAAAGATGTGTTTGAAAAACTTCTTGAACTCTGGCAAAAATTAATTCTTCACATCTGGAGTAATTTACAAAAAAAAAAAAAAAAATGGCCACTATATGATAGGATTATCAGAAAGATTACAGAATTTATATACAACAAAAACTGAAAATTATGAATTTTTCAACTTATTCTTTCCACCAGAGAATTTCTCTAGTTAGAATAACTAACTTGAGTTTATCTGTTGGAGATTATTAAATGTTAAATTGAAGTGTGCTTAAGAAAACAAACTGACTATATTACGAGTCACTTCTACATTTCATCCAACTAGACTTGAGTCACCAGTTTTATGTTAAGCATAAAGCTACGCAATGAGCTACACAATATGTTGTGCTCACCATGGGTATCAAAACCCATATTAGAGTTATTTTTTGTTTGTTTGAAGTTGAGCCCAAAGGGCTATCTAATGCTCTGCCAACCAAGGGTATCAAAACCCAGTTTCTAGTATTGTAAGTCCACAGACATACCGCTGAGGTGGGGGGTATTTGATGTTAAGCATAAAGCTACACAATGTTTTATCTGTGCTGTGGGTATCAAAACCCGATTTTTAGCACAAGAATCCAACAGACTTGCGGCTGAGATATTGGGAAGCACATATCATTCTAACCTAACAGTTGTAGCTTGTTTCCTGTTATCTTATGCTTCATTATGTGTATTTAACTCTGTGTTAGTCTGCTGTAAAGATTTTCCAGAGTCTCAGCAGACCCGAAAATAAAAAATTAAGTTTAAAATAATAATCTTTTATTTTGTAAACAAAAAAACACTAACACTCAAAATCTTTTGCTTTTTTAATCAATAAATGAACATTCAGTATTACAACTCGTTTCTTTTTTTACCACCTAAACTAAGTTGTAACAATTTAACACAAACTAGCCAAACACTGAAGCTATTGAGAACAACAGACATAAAAGTTGGGGTCCGTAAAGACCCTAGAAGACTAACACAGGTTAAATTGTTTTCCTACACTTATAATAAAACATAATAGCAGTGCATCATGACTGGGTTGCACCTAATGTCAGGTGCAAGTTAAAAGGTTAGTAAAAACATATCTTTGTTAAATAATAAACATATTGTTACACATAGGGTACTGAGAAGTCAAACAACTTAATAATCAATAAAGAGAAGCTAAATTTTTTTCATTCGGACGTTGATATAAAAATACAAAATTTAGTGATTGTTGTTTTAACTACGTAACAGTCGCACTGGGAGAGGTAGATAAAGACCCATAAAAATATTTACACCAGCAGAAACTTAATAAAAATACAAAATTTAGTGATTGTTGTTTTAACTACATAACAATCGCACTGGGAGAGGTAAATAAAGACCCATAAAAATATTTACACCAGCAGAAACTTAAAAAAAAATACAAAATTTAGTGATTGTTGTTTTAACTACATAACAGTCGCACTGAGAGAGGTGGATATTGTAAGGAAGTGTTACAATGAAAATTTATACTGCTCTTTTTATAAAGTATAAACTGGATAAATTATGTGCAATGAAATATATATATATATATATATATATATATATATACAAGCAAATAAAGGATTTAAAACCTTTGTGAACATGTAATTTTTTTTTCAGGCAATATAGTTTGTTTCGTAGTTAAACACCTAGCTACACAATGGGCTATCTTTGCTCTGCTCACTGCAAGTACTGAGACCCAATTTTTATCATGGTAAGCCCTTAGCTTTGCCACTGGAGGGATTCGGGCAATAAAAAACCGTTTCACACATCACGATGCATAAACATATGCAAAAACACCTTAGCAGGTTTGATGTTCTTAATAACCAGTATATGATTTGAACAAGTTTGACGCTTCAGTCATATATCAGATTTGAAAGAGCTGCAACCCCAGACGAAATGCATACACTATGGAGATGGAGGGACCTGCGAGTTATATAGGGCATTTTTTCTACAATCTATTACTACTGCTCGTATAATGAAGGAAAGAAACTCCACCTACTCATTCTTTTCCACTCTCTAAAACTTCTTCGTGATGAACCACTTTTGGTTCATTCTTTTGAACAAAGATTAAATAGGTGTAGACAACACTGCCTAACATACTGAAAAACAAAAAAATATATAGTTATTGACCAGATAACAATGCTTACACTACTATATTACTAACAAAAAGGAAACTTAAAAATGGGGCACTGAATTCTGAAAATTACTCACCAGTTTTTAAAAAATGTAGTTTGACTGGAAGTATTCATACATATTAAAAGATCAATTTTTTTTATGTGTCAATGTTTCGGTCATGTATCTTTAACGAGAGACTATACAACATGGTGCTCTTCTGGAGATACTTAAAGTTATTTCTAAACAACTTTTTATATAAAGTTTACAAATTTTATTACACTAAAAAAAAATTTAAAATAAGGGATTTTAAAAACATGACTAGTTTTGGTCTTAGGCCTACATGAGGTGTAATTTAATGTAATACATCTTTCATTGTAGGAGAGAAAAAATATAAAGAAGTAGAGCACCCTAGATAGAGTACTTATTTTTTAACAAAATAAGAGTACTTATTTTTCTAACAAAATAAAGTCTTTATCATATCAAACAACAGAAAGGTTTTACTTTATTGAGTTAGAGGCAAATGTGAATCGATTATTAACCCATTAACTGCAGATGACGGATATTTCCATCATTGAAGTTCAATGGCTCAGCTGCGAATTACGGAAATATCCGTCAGTCGCACATATATAACTATAACTCTATGCAAATGACGAAAATTACCGTTTTATTGCGATTGATGGCAACTCAGTTTTATCTGCGAGTCAGAAAACGGCAACTAAACTGCTCCTGCTGCAGTTAATGGGTTAATTTTTTCATTCCTGGTAAAGCTACTTTTAGTAATTTTTCAATCAACAGAGTTAAAAGTTTCTGAATTCTGTTGTGAAAGGAACATTACAGAGAGGTTCATTGTAGTGGTAATAAGTATAGTGTGAACTGAAAGGTTGATATCATCCCTTTTCTTTGCAGCTCAGACGTATTCTGTGATCCTTTCCCAAATAGGTGTACATATGTTTATTTTTGAAGTTTTTTTAGAGTAATAAACTTTATTAAATTCACATAAAAAGTTATTTGAAAATATACAACATTGATAAATCAGATACAACTGTAATGTATGGTGTCAAGAGTTTGCTCTTTTTTCTTTTTAGTATGAGGTGGCAACATTTAACAATGATTAATATATTGTTTAATAAACAATGAAGCCTCGTATCTGTTACTTAAATGATCAGTAGAGTGAAAAGAAATAAAACGGTAACTAAATTTAAATCTTGTGGTTAATATAAAATGTGTTGATGAAACTGATATGTTGTACATAATTTTAAAGTTAAAAACAGACTGGTTTGTTTCATTTTGCTCCAGTGATGTTTTTGAACAGTTTCTATGCAACTCTTTACTGTTGTCTTTTCAAAACCACACATAGTTTATTAGAAAATATCAGGATTCTTGAGTATTAAAAGATGATGATCCCACTGGGTGATTAAATTTAATATTGTGAACAGCTTTACAGTGGAGATGTTTTTAAGCAATTAAAAATGTGACATTTCAGCCCATTAGAGCATGCCACCTTCAGACAAAGTATGATTAATAAATACACTGTCCAAAAACTGTCGCCCACTTCTATGGGCCGAAACATCACAATTTTAACTGCTTCAAAAACAACCATTTCCACTCTTCATGATACTAATAATATCAGGGTTTTCCTCAGCTGCTTTTACCACACTAGTATCAATATGCATCTATTTTCACTGATATATTTAAGAGTATCATATGCCAAATTCTTCTCCTGACTGTCTCCTTAACAAGCTATTTACGATGTGTCATGCAAAAAATCATTTTTGTTCTTTTCATTCAAACTGAAAATAGCCCACATTGTTTACATGTATCTGGCATATAGTATAAAAGAAATGCAAACACTCAGCATCATGTGCACGTTGGTTCAACAGTTCAAGCCCGAACTACTGTTCTTGATGTTTCACATCCAGCCTGAAATAAAGCTTAACTGCAGTTGTTTTTGGTTTTATTTCTATGATGTCACCACCTCACAGTTGTACATGAGTTATCACTCTCTCCAATCCAATTCTTAGCAGTAATTTTAGTTTGAAAATCTCACAAGCTCCAAAGGGGTTTGAAAGACAACTAGGGGCACTCAGAAACTGTTGTTTCTCTTCGCCCTGCTTGCGTAATTTAGGTTTAATCGTTCAACGTATGTGGTAAATTTTAGGCTAGCGGGTCGAGACGTTAAATGACTTGATTACAATTTACAAGTGGGGTGTGAAGATTATTAACTTGTGGTTTGTCAATTGACTGGCTTGACAAGTGTGTGCAGTAGCATAACTAATGCAAAGCCTCAAGGTATTTCATTCAAAGACATAGCAGTCAACATATAAAAGAAATGTACTCAATATAATCACTATAAGAGTGTTACACAACCAAGTCAGTAGAATTTTAGACAGTCTGGAATAGAAGAAACCTTAACTTGGTTAAGAAAATACATTTTTACTTTGCTGTTCATCAGGTTCCAAACAATTTAAAACACAAAATTCACCTCATATTGAGCCCTATAAAGTTGGTAATACTGAAGACATAATCCCCACCGACAAACATTCCAAGATAAGTGACTAGAATATTCTGTTGAGATGAAACAAACCAACACTCATTATTTAAGCACAATACACATTAAGATTGAAAAAATAATAATAATAAAACTATTGCTAATTATCTTAAGTTACTAAACAAACAATTATCTTGATTATTGTACAACATATACAACTATTAGGTTAGGTTGCAAAATGTGGTTTTAGCAAAATACCATAAACTAATACTAGGTGTACTTTCGCAGGGTCTCCAAAACTGTTCTGTTTCAAGAGTAAATTAAACCAAACTTAAGAACAACAAATAAATATTTGTTTGTTTGTTTGTTTTTGAATTTCGCGCAAAGCTACACGAGGGCTATCTGCGCTAGCCGTCCCTAATTTAGCAGTGTAAGACTAGAGGGAAGGCAACTAGTCATCACCACCCACCGCCAACTCTTGGGCTACTCTTTTACCAACGAATAGTGGGATTGACCGTCACATTATAATGCCCCCACGGCTGAAAGGGCGAGCATGTTTGGTGGGACGGGGATTCGAACCCGCAACCCTCAGATTGCAAGTCGAGCGCCTTATCCACCTGGCCATGCCGGGCCATAAATATTTGTATTTCTTGCTTTTGAAGTTCATATGTCATGCTGTGTTGTAGCCTACAGAATGCATAATTCTTCTCTTGATTTATGGCATGCGCACATTCTGCTGACATCACGACAGTACAAATTGCAACGTTAAGCATCCTTTATGTGATGTCATTTTAGTGTCTACTGTCTGACTGACAGACAACACACTACTGTATAGTGGTGAGAGTCATTAAAACAGGTGACCCCTCCAGGCAGCCTTTGGCGCCCCCTTTGGGAAATAAATGCAATCATCATGGGAGTCCTTAATATCTAAGTGATAAAAAAAATTTAAATAGAGATAAAGTACAGATATTAAAAAAAAATAAAAGCTTTTAACTTTTCCTTTAATTTTCAGTCATACAATATCTATATTTCACTGACTTTCTGTGCACACTCACATGGCTAACATGAGTTTTCCTTTTTCAAACATTTAAAGTATTTTCCTTCTGTAGGCCCTCTTCAGGAGAAACATGTTTATTACACAGATACTACTGTAGTTAAATCATGATCTGATGCAAAAATTATCTGATGTTACTTAACACCTTATTCTGTACACGACAGAGAAATTAGAAATTTACTGACAATTCTGCTGTAAATTCAGAAACACATTATTGTAAGAAATACCAAAATATTTTGCTTCAAAGCAAAGTTCATCTTTAATATCAAAATCCATTTGTCAAGGACCTGTTCAAAAACTTGTCACATAGAATTTACACTATCATTTTGCAAAAACCCTCAAAATGACTCTGCAAGAAATCTAAATATACGTTTTTTTTAAATGTTCCTGTTATTTATGTAGCCACGTTAGTTACTGTAGTTATTGAAACATATCATATTACACTTTGCAGGTGTTTACCTTCAACTTATTTGAGACAACAACTGGTGGATGGGAAAGATCCGATCAGAGACTAGGCATTATGAAATTATTCTAATGATAATGTGTGTTTATGTTAAAAAAAACGACTCTTCAAGACGACTCCTATAATACGTGAAAACTTACTTTGAGACAACCGACAATAGTCGTGGTAAGTGGAGAATTGTACTGAGTACAAATTATTGTTGAATACATTAAAATGAATCCCATGGTACAAGAAAGTAAAAACCATGTTAAAAACCACAAATTGGTCCACTGGTCATATTCAATAATCTACAGAAAAGATACAAAAAAAAAAGATATATATTATAGGTTTATAAGTACACCTGTAACCTCATTACAACTACATGAACACGAAACTTTCTTCACAATTATGCAAAACAACTTCTATTAAATATACATAACAAATAATAAAGGTGTTGTTTTTACAAGTAGAATGTTAAAAAACTGTCAACTACCCACTGTTAAATGTGACTCTTTACTGGTAGTATGTTACACAACTGTCAACTACCCACTGTTAAATGTGGTTGTTTACTGGTAGTATGTTACACAACTGTCAACTACCCACTGTTAAATGTGGCTGTTAACTGGTAGTATGTTACACAACAGTAAACTACCCACTGTTAAATGTGACTCTTTACTGGTAGTATGTTACACAACTGTCAACTACCCACTGTTAAATGTGACTCTTTACTGGTAGTATGTTACACAGCTGTCAATTACCCACTGTTAAGTGTGGCTGTTTACTGGTAGTATGTTACACAGCTGTCAACTACCCACTGTTAAGTGTGGCTGTTTACTGGTAGTATGTTACACAGCTGTCAACTACCCACTGTTAAGTGTGGCTGTTTACTGGTAGTATGTTACACAGCTGTCAATTACCCACTGTTTTACTACCAGTAAACAGCCACACTTTGTTACACAGTTGTCAACTACCCACTGTTAAATGTGGCAGTTTACTGGTAGGGTGTTGGAAGCCTGACGTATGCCTACCACTAAGATTATGTTAAATGCAGTTCTTACCAGAAACATGTTGGGTGATTATTGACTTGTTTCCAGAATTATTAGGCTGAATGTGGTTGTTTACCAGAAGTGTGTTGGATGCTTATTGACTCCTAGTATGACTATATTAAACCTTGTGGATTCAGTATTCGTTTTCCCACTGAAAGCAGTAAACAATTTTGTCTTGTATCGAATGAAAAGAAAGACTGACTGGGATTCTTTCTTATGGAAACAATTTTCTAAATTATTATTATCCATGACATTTTTTGGATAAAAATAGTTGCAAATGTAATTTTTACATATGGATTGTTTTCGTATAGGTTTGTTTGTTTTTGAATTTCGCACAAGGCTACACGAGGGCTATCTGCGCTAGCCGTCCCTAATTTAGCAGTGTAAGACTAGAGGGAAGGCGGCTAGTCATCACCACCCACCGCCAACTCTTGGGCTACTCTTTTACCAACGAATAGTGGGATTGACCGTCACATTATAACGCCCCCACGGCTGAAAGGGCGAGCATGTTTGGTGGGACAGGGATTCGAACCCGCGACCCTCAGCTTGCGAGTCGAGCACCTTATCCACCTGGCCATGCTGGGCCCTTTCGTATAGGATTAGTATCGTATTACCTGTTACACGATCTACAACTACCTTTGTAATCAATGGTGGTTTTCAATAGAGATTATTTTAAAATCATAAAATTTTCAAAATAAGAAACACGTGGATTGTTAATTTGTTTATTTGAATTTTGCTCAAAGCTACTCGAAAGCTATTTACATTAGCCTTCCCTAATTTTGAAGTTATAGACTATTCAAAAGGCAGCTAGTTAACACTAACCACTGCCAACTCTTGGACTATTCTTTACCAACAATCGTCACATTATAATGCCCCCCCACAGTAGGTGGGCATGTTCAGTGACAGGTTTCAATTCTGCAACGTGCGGGTTGCCAGCCAAGTGCACTTACCACCAGGCTCTAAAGTAAAGATTTGTGACTCGCAATTAAATTTCAGTTGTATTTCGTGTAATTATTTAATTATATTGTATGTTTCTATCATCAAATGTTCCTTGTACAAACACGCGACTCCTCAGAAAAAAAGAAAGAAAAGAGTCTTACATACTGTACTTCTGACATTAGTGTAGAGCAATCAAAATAAAGACAGGTATCAGAGAACTCCATTTCACTTATATTAAACACATAGCTTTTATTTTTTTTTCTTTGCATTCTTCAATGCTTAAAATGTTAAGATATTTAAAGGGTGATAACACAATAACTTTAAGTTGACTGACCACAGAACTTATAATAATATCAAACCATACTTCCAAAGACTGAAATTCAGTTCATTCTTACTATTCATTCTTTTGAAATTGGCTCGATGAATTACTAAACCCATGAAAATGTTTTGTTTGAAGACGCAGATGTAGAATTCTAATTTCGGCACGAATTCATTCTATGATTAAATATATAATAAAATTCGTTCATCGGAAAAAGGAAATTTGTAATCGGCCACAAAGATTACATAAAAAAAAACACGTTACTTATTATATTTAACTACATATGCTACAATACACGAACTAATTTGTATTTTCAGGTGTTTTCCCTTAAAATATAAACTAACAACCTGGTTAAAAAAGTAAATGAAATTACTTTTACGGTTACCCATGTTTGATAAACATATCAAAATAATGAGTTTATACAAACCTTTGGAAAATCCCCACTCAACCAAGTTATGTACATTAAAGGGGCAAACATGAAGAGGACGTTATAAAACAAAAGTCCAAACTTCGTAAGATCCTAAGCAACAGAAATAAGAAGCATTTCAAATATAGAACATTGCTAATATGTAAATAGTTGTTATTTTCATATATTATAGAAATATCGTAGATGGACTTCTATCAAATAATTGTGATTGTTCCGAGACAATATACAATGTAAAATAACTATTTCAGGTGTGGTTTGATTGTAAAGTAATAAATTTACAATATTCTTTAATATTGCAGTAATGTAGTGTTCACCGGCACACAATTTTTATTTTTTTTTGTATATTTACCTCAGATTTTTGCCTTAATGCTTTTTGTTTGTTTGTAATTATGCACAAAGCTACACAATGGGCTATCTATGCTCTGCCCACCACAGGTATCGAAACCCAGTTTCTAGCATTGTAAGTCCGCAGACATACCACTGTGCTACTGGGGGGTATAATACTTTTTGAAAAGATTACTCGTGTATTGATGACCTAGGTACTCCTTAGCCGTAGTACAAGTAACACGAAATACTTTAGCGATACTAATTTAAATTAATATTAACATTATCAGGTAACAGAGTATAAGCATGTATATATGAATCTAAGTTTCAAATGGACAGCAACTGCCTGTTGTAGAAACCTACAAACGTAGAGGACGACGTTTCGAAAATCTTCCGCCTTTCGTCTTCTGAAGATGAAAGGCGGAAGATTTTCG